ATAATCAACTAAATAATCAATTACCTACAACAATCAATCTTATAACATTCAAATTAATTAATCAATTAACCCAAAATATAAATTTTTAAAACCCTAATATTTATCAAAACAAAAATTTAAAGTTCAAATAACACATTTATATATTTAACAACCTAAATCTTACCTTTAAACTTATTTCCTTTCAATCTCTTCCTTTTCCCTTCTCTTCTCCTCTTTTCTCTTTTTCTTCTTCTTTCTTCTTTCTCTCTCACGGTTTGCTCCTTCAATTTTAAGATCCCTCTTTCTTTTTTTCTTTCTTTCTTATTTATTTATAACCATTATTCAATTACCACAATACTTCTCATTTAATTATATTTACTTTTAAGCCTCGGGCTTGGTTGCCCTTTCCTACTGATTTTTAAAACATCATAGTCCCCCTCTTAATGTCGGCCTTAAAACCAGTGAACTGCAGAATAGTACTTTTTCTAAGCAATTTGCTCAGTTTTATTCAGAAGGTCATTGGAATATTGAATATACCTTGTGATCTATAAAGAATTACTTGCAATGAGCTTGAGTGGAATAAAGAGTCGAATTTTGATGTTTGAGATGTGGACAAAGAAGAATGAAAGCTGGGAGGAGCTATTCATATTCAGAGGAATCCTTCCTAGAAATACGGTGCCTATAGGAACCCTCAATGATGAAAAAAATCCTATTCAGGGGAGTTCTTCTTTGGAACCATATGACATGCGATTATGTTTGCATTTGGATGATCCCTTGACCAAAGCTGGAGTAGGGTTCCAAACAACAAATCTCACATCTACTTTGAAACTCAAAGTTATGTGGAGAGCCTCATTTATTAGGGACATTTTCGTCATGTTATTCTCTTTTGATTGTTGGTAGCTCTTATTTAAAGTTTCTAAGGGCTCTAGTAAAGTCTGCCATGGTTTCAATTGTCGAGAACTTTCTCTTTGTAATACTGCGTATAAACAAAAACTTTCACCCATTTGAATTAGTCCTGTTTTCTCTTTGGCAGCTGTGTGAGGAAAGAAATGGTGAAGAGTGGAATTATCGATACTGCTGCTGGAGTACTTGGTACATATGATCCTCGCCCAGTACAGCCTGATAGCCTTTCTCCTGTTTTCTCTGTAACAAAGGGCATTGCAGCAGGAATGTTACATTGGCTTGTCGACAATGGGTATGTAGCAGTAATTGTATGAAAGCATAGCCTTTTGTGTGTTATCATTTGGTGAACTGCTGGGCAAAATATTTATTTTTGTATGTAGTTTTGTTTTTGATAAATTTTCATGTAGTTGTAAGCTTTCATTGGGAATACTGATTGCATGATCTGCTTCCTAAAAACAATATTGATACAAGCACTGGTGTTTATCCTGCATAAAGTATGTCTGCATTTTGGTATGTTCTGGACATAATTCCAATATCTTCTCCCATTATCTGTATTCTGTTGCATCCAAACATGCAAGGCATAGAAAATACTCAATATAGCTCTTTCTTGCTCCCACTTCATCCCCCCCACAATTTCTAAACTCAGCCCCACACTTGCTTCTCCTCCAACATCGCCGGAGCTCCTAAACCACATCACCCCATCAACTGCATTCCTTTTGTCCGGTGCAACTTCTCTACCTGCAACAGAAACCGTTACTCTCTGAACAACACCATCCACAACGACAGAGTTGCTTCACTAGAATTATATTCACTTGCGAAAATTTGGTCCCATCTTTGTTCCAGTGTCATTTCATAGTACCTTGAAATACTCATCTGGTCCTTCAGTTTTCCTTCTTTGATAAACATGAAAGGACAATACCATTTTCCTACAACAACAGGGGCAGAACTTCTTTGTGATAATGGCAAGTGGAAATCTGGAAGGCGGGCTCAGAGATTTCTGTCAAGGCCTGCTGCTTCCTTCAATTCAAAATCACGTGCAGTTGAGGTTGACACTGTCCAGCCTTTTCTCCTTAAGAAATATGGAGGGATGCCATCTGGAGCCACCGATTTTGAAACGTAACCAAACCGGTTACTCTTGCAAATCTCAAATTGCTCGTACACGTCCTTGGGGTCGAAAGACTGCGGTTCCTTATCCGGATTATGTCTACAGAAGCCAAAACAGCACGTTGTTTCGTCTTCCTCTTTAGCATTTGTGTGTGCTTCCCTGAATTAAGGCCAAGTTTAATGCACAGATGCAGTTAGAAAAATCATGTCGATTATGCAAAGAAGCCGAACATAAAGGATTTTGATTTTCTAACGCTTCACGATCACATAATATGAAAAACAAATAAATGGAAACTGCGACTTGTGATTATTAAACATACCCTCTATGCTTCCCTTGACGCTCGATCACGTAGTATCGGTTGGAAGACAGTGGCTGATTTAGCACAGGGATGAAGATGACATGGTTAGTACTGTTAATAGTCTGTCCATTATCACCTGTGCTGGTCGTCTGTCCATTATTAGCTGTGCTTGTGGTGTAGCTAACTGTTAGATTCTTGTTCTGCGGGAAAGGCAGGTCTTTGACAAAATCGATCTTGGAGCAGCAAAAACAACAAGTAAGATCAACTTCTTCATCTTGTATTATCAATATACCAGAATTTGAACCTTCAGGAGGAGCTGATGAAAGAGCTGAGGGATTTCTTTTGTACATCGAAAGAGGCCTAGTCACATACATTTTTGTTCGAAAACTTTCTTTTCTGTACTAATACTTCTTTTCTGCTTTGAAATTTGTAATGATAAGGAGTCTTTCTTAAAGTAGTATTTATCTCAGCTTCTTAAACTCCATGTCTATATATATAGAGAGAGGGGGGTGGGGGGGTTCAGACAGAAACTGTGAAGAGTCTATAACAGGCACGGGGAATTTAAACAAGGAATAAGAATCCTAGCAGAGGTAAAACATAGACAAGTAAGACACGGTTCTGTGATATTTGTAGTCGGTCAAACCGGTCGATTAGTATTAATTGGATCCAAAAAGAGTCACAGAAATTGTCAAAAAAAGAACAGACATGGACGAACAACACGACAGCTGCAAGAAGGTCCGGATCTTACAACCTTGCAGCAAACCAAGGAACAACACGCTGTTACTTAAGGTTGATCTGATTGGATGTTCCAGGTTACGGATCAGTTACATTCATGGCCTGACCCTCGACTAATTCTTATCTGCTGATACTGTGGATAAGACCAGTTGACATCAAGTTTCAGTTTTAGAATAACTAAAGAAAGTGCACTCATCACTCTGTTCCTATGTTTGACCAAAACAAAACAAAAAAAAGGGTTCCCAGATCAGAGCATTTCGAGGAGCCATGGAGGCTTGAAAATGAGGATTAAAAAAGAGGTCAAGGTCATGTTAACGTGTTGATTAAACTTGAAAGTTGAATCCTTCTATGACTTGATGTCAAAGTAACAGGCGTTTTTTGGTCATCACAGCCTCTCCTTCTCCAGAAAATCTCCACTCGGCCTGCGAAAACACAGGACACACCAAGTGTCGAGACATAAATTGTTGTCTTTCAATAATCTCTTACCAATTGAGGTTTAAAAATTCAATATTTTGACGAATAAAATGGTAATACACCTTATCACCTCAATAATCTCCCATATAACGAAAGAGAAGAAATCCTAAAATTATAGAGAGAATTATGGTTTAATAAACTCTAAAAGTAAATAATTGAATATTAATAGAAAATTGTTTTGAACAGGAAGCTAAACTGACTTAACTAATAAAAATTAAATTAAATTAATATTACAAATCTAATTAGGAAGGAATTCAGAAAATAAAAAAAATAAAAAAATTCAAAACATTAATCTATTATAATAATAATTGACCATTTATAGAATAAAATATGTAGAACATGATTGTAAAATTTTATCTAATTCAACTATTAATTATTAAATTAAAAATTTATATGTAAGTTGATCCGAACACTCATATTAATAAAAAAAAAAATTTATTTCCATCAAGAAGCTAAATTAACTAGTCTGGATTTCTTTTTAGATTTGGACATATTGATATATTCTATGGACGTACATGTTTATATGACATTCACTGTTGAGAAATTTGAAGTCAGATGACAGAAGGAAAAGAGTTTCCTTTATTTAGTGTTTTTATTTTTCTTCCCACGAAACCATCCTGAAGGGACTCTCCCCTCAGACTTGGTCAAGAAATCTCCTTACCTTGTCTAGCTTGTTGTTGCTGACAACCAATTTTTTATATTTTTTTGATATACTAATATTAAAAAATATATCTTTGAGTGAAAAGTAATAGATAGATAAAAAATATTATAAATAAATAAAAGTAAAAAACGATTTTGACAGGCAAAGTTAGCAAAGGTGGGGGGGCACAGTATCAGCAGCACCCAACCAATACATGGAAAACGAATTGCAAAAAATATTCCATCCGGCCAGAAGCACTTTCTGAGAAGGGGAATCAAAGCGCTTTTTGAGAATCATCCTTGGTGATGTACTGATGTAGGTGCAGTCCAAAATGCAAGTTACAGATCTTATTCCCTCGTTATTTTCAAATGGAATCCATGAACTTGGATTTCTTTGTACTTTTTGAAAAAGTAATAGAAAAGAAAATCAGCATGATGCATCATTCATGGACATTTTAATGAGTTGGCTTTCATTCTTTCCCTGTTTTCATTGCACAGTTGTGGCTTCAGGTCCATCATTCAAGACATTTTAATGAGATCTTTTATTCAGGAAGGTAACTGGTTCTGCCATGAGGATAAGAAGAGAAGGAAACAGAAAATCTAGAAGAGCATGGCCAGTGAGGAGACAGAATCTGCAGGAGCTTGATGGGATCTATGGACAAGCAGCTAGCTTTGTAGGAGCAACTTGATAGAAGGATCATAAGGTCACGAATCCGGAATATCTAAGAAGAAAGAGCACTAGAAGTACTACGCTATGAAAGCTTTCAGAGAGACATTCATGAAAATTCAGTCCTAAAAGGCATGCCCTCTCAACCAGTGCACATCCAAGTCAACCAAGTGAGATGGAAAACAAAATATACAGTAATATTATTGCTGATCATATTTCTAGTGAACTCAAGGCTGTAAGCTAACTTCTAACAACAGCAATTGCATGGAACTATCATCCATAAATTCTCCACACAAACATTTATGCCCTTCTCAGAATACAAGTAAACAATTTAATTCCTGCTAGACCTGTAATTGCTCTTCAATCAAAGAATTGTACACAAATCTAGCAAATACAAGGTTTCTACAGCCGCCCACTATTTGAATGAATGAGAGTGAAAATGAAAGTAAAATGACAATCTATAACTCAAAGTATTATCTACGCTTTTAAAAGGGCCCATCTTCGCTTTCATCCTAGTGTCCAGGACTTGCTCGAGATTGCAGAACCTACCAGGCACTAGATATAGCACTCCGTTTGCTTTGCATTTAAACAGCTTCTGAATTTCGATCTCACTGGGAAAATTCAGGCAATGGTCTGAAAAAAGAGGTTGCTCTACTAAAATTAAATTTTCCAAAATAGTTCCAAGCCATCAAACATACAGATATGTACAGTTCAAGAGCTGACCGCTGATCAAAGGAGGGATGATGTTTGGATCGGACACCTTTCAGCTTAACCAACATAAAGCAATAATAGCAGGAAAATCACACTACCGCAGAGGTTGTACGGCGAAGATCTGCAACACCATTGTTGAATTTGGCACTAAGTTGTCAGCCCTTGAAACTTGCATATCTTCCTGGCTTTGGCAGAAATAGTGAGCTCAACATTTGCTCCAAAGTCTGCACCAAGTATTTTGCATATTCACTGGAACTTCCATCTAGCTCAACCAAGGGCCCATAGCTCTGCATATAGCTCTGATAAACAGGTACGACTGCCTGCACAATCAGCTGGCATATCTTATCCCTGAGATCACTATCTGGCACAACCCAGCTGGACTGCCTCTTATACATTTCATCGAAAGCTTCATTGAAATTTTGCACCCTTTTCTTGACAAGATCACGGGCAGTGGCACGCCCACCTGAGAACAGAATCAGACCTTCACGACTTAAATGACCTGAAAGCTTCCCCCAACTGTCTCGCAAGAATATCGCAGCATAATGGTCTTTGTACTGTTCATGTTCTCTAAACCAAGAATCCCCTAAGAGATCCCCAGCCTTTGTTCCCTTCAAATGCTTGTATAAATGTTAGTGATTGTTCATGGCAAAAAGGTTAGATAGGATAGAATCTTCGTAAGCCTTTGTCCATGTCTCCAGATTGAGCTCAATGGCTTTAACTATGTTCAAAACCTCACTAACAAGAATCCTCTCCTGAAACTTCTCGTGCTTCCAACTTCGATGAATGAGCAGAACCTGGTTCAGGATAGGTTTGTAATTATCCCCAAGCAGCTTATTGCAGTAATCAGTAATGATGCTCACCAGTATAGGGACGTTCCCATCTGGAGGAGGTGGAATCTGCCTCTGCAACTCCACCTGAACAAGAAGTTCCCAGAAAATCTCAGCTGCCCCATCAATCACCCTCTTAATGGGATCCCGTGTGAGATTTGGATTTCAATACAGGCTGCTCCGCCAAAAAGCCTGTTAAAATCCAGCCTTAATTTGTTCAGTGTCGCAAACATATCCAACAATCTCATAAGCTTGATTGGATCTTTCTTACTTTCTGTAACAGTCTTCCCAAAGTGAAGAAACGCAAGAATGCCAGTCTGGGCAGCTATATTGGAAAAGCATCCCATCCAAACATCCAAGACAATCCTCTCAAAAACATCGTTACAAAGCTTGTATTCTGCTTCAAACAGGTACTTCACTGCAAACTCCAAATGCTTGCCCCACTGAGCTATATACCCTTCTATGCTCTGCACATCATTGAATTCAGCTATTGAGATCTCAAGGTAATCCAAATCCAGCGCCTGCAGACTAGCTCTAACATTCGAACTACGAACTTCAACATATATTGATATGCCCTTTTCAAGTCTATTATTAGTTCTCAACCTCCCAAGAATGGCTTGCAACTTGTGTACAACAGACACAGGTAATAGTGATGGTGCAATGACCGCCTGTTCACCAAGATCCGGAGATGATGACATTGGCAGTGGCACACTATGTTCTGTCAAAAGCCGCCAAAACTCACCTTCCAATTTATCCAACGCAGCATTTAGAAGCCCACCATCAAGACGAGCTCGTTCATCATCACTTTGCGATTCCCTAAGACCCTTCACTGACTTCTTCAAATTCAAAAAATGCTGCTCATCTGCCATAACATTATCCTCCAAATACTCCAATATGTCATCCAACCACTGGACTGCTAATCCACAATTATCCCCCAGAAACCTCAAAGCCTCCTCAAGTCGCTTTAACACTGACAAATACCAGGAAGATTGTTCCTTGGATCTGATAACGACTTCTCCAGTCCATGAACTGCATCAAAAACCTTACGAACCGCGGCCGCAGGGCCAATGGCATGATTAATATGACCCCCAACAGCAATAAGTGCTTCCTTGTCCGCACGAATGGGGGCACTGCCGCCTCTAGAGAAGGCAATCTTTGGTTAATCTCATCTAATCTCGGCCCAGCTTTCTCAAGAGAAAACCCTAAAGCTTTCGACTTCTCTAAATTTAGCTTCAATGACTTCCTTGCAGCTATCAAATTCTCAATCATATCATTACCATCAACATCACTCCTCCCTAGTTCAGCCATTACAGTCCTAAACTCTCTAGTTACACAGCAAACCCCTGAAAAATCAAAGATCTTAACTTCTGGGTTCCACACAAATTAAGCTGCAAAGGCCTTATATTAAATCAAAGTTCTGAACTTTTGCTGGAAAAAGCTAAAATTAGCAATCAAGATTTGATCGTTTTTTATCTAATGATTTTGGGTTCTTTAGGTAATTAATTATTATTAACCAGGATACATGTAACAACAAATCTTCATGTCTACAATTTTCAACCAAACTTCACCAATTTCCGACGAAACTAAAGACTAACAAACCAACATCACAGGTAACTAACAAACCTTAGGGAAGTTTGGTCTTTTAAGTTTAAATCATTAAACTCGCTTGATGAGATTTGCTTGGTTTTTTAAAGCTTTGGCAAGCTTGATAGAGCGGACCCGGTGAGTCAGAGAATCTGATGAGCAAGAGAGATTTTAAAGACAACCCTGAATCTTAAGCGAGTGGGGGGGATCTTTACAGGTCTCTCTTTTGCAAGGTCTAGCAATGACTAATGCCACGGTGGAGAGAAGACAGCAAGGCAAAAGGCTTCTCTGTACTTTCGCTTAACTCGCTGGTTGCTATCCCAATTCCCAATTCCTGTAATTTTATTCTCTGTCAAAACGACCTGTCGGTTGCATCTTGTAAAGGTCACCATTACATTTTTTTCCGGCACGCCATTTTCTATATCCAAGGATGGCTACCATTGCCATGACCCTCCAGGCTTCAAGGAAGGTGCTGGCATTAGAGAGAATATGGTTAGTTAGTACTAGTTGGCATCATGAGGTAAAAAGCACTGAAGGAATTAAAAATCTTAACCCTTAATCTTAACCGTGCATAGACAGACCAACAATAATGAAAGAGAACATGTCATCTTTGTCATGCAAGAGATCAATCAGATCAAATAGAAGTAATGATAATAAAATGGGAGTGAATTTGATCAGCACCAAGGGTTTTACAAAAAGTTGGCGGAACAAGTTCACATTCAAAGAAAGAAATTCTAGTAAATGATACGTTGTTTCAGAAGGCTTAGAACAAACTGGAGACTGGAGATGTTTGCATTTGCATCAGATTCCATCCGTGTTCCCCTTCTCTCAGTTTACGTACTTGGCTGCTGCACATGCATCAGATTCTTGCTTGAACTACAATGTCCCGAAAGAATGTATAAATTGAATGGTTTAAGTTGGCCATTGTTCATGATACCTTCCATAAGCAATTTTAATGACTACATGGGGGAAAAGAATTCCCATCCAAAGTAAAAAAAGAATGATTTATGGAGTAACATGATTAGCTTGCTCTTGTAAATATAGGAATATTTCAACTGATAACTCGAAAGGAAAGAATAAAGGGCATTTCTTGGGGAAGACGAGTATCCCAAAAACCATCATGAAAGCAAAGTTCTTTTGCTTCAGTACATGAAATTAAGATTCCATGGCCTTTTCCAATGCACTATATATACATCAAGTAATAGATCATATGAAGCACCATCAAATCATAAGCTCCCCTTTTATATTTCTCCTCTTCTCTCAGCCAATCAATTACTGCCTATATTGCACATTCCCAAATTTATAATCCTTTTATTTCAATTTTATCCTCTCTCAACCATTCCTTAGTTCTGAACAATATGGCTGATGCTCTTGTTTCCGTAGTATTGGAGCAGCTGAGCTCAATCTTTATTCAGGAAGTAAAACGAGAAGTGAGGCTCGTCGTTGGTGTCAAGAACGAGGTTAAAAAGCTTACCAGCAATTTCCAGGCCATCCAAGCTGTGCTTGCCAATGCAGAGGAAAGACAGTTGAAGGATCAGTTGGTCAAACATTGGTTAGATCAGCTCAAAAACGTATCTTACGACATGGATGATGTTTTGGATGAGTGGGGCACTGAAATTGCAAAATCGCAAAGCAAGGTAAATCAGCATCCCCGCAAGAATACAAGGAAGGTATGCTCTTTCATGATCTTCAGTTGCTTTCGTTTTAGAGAAGTTCGTTTGCGTCATGATATTGCTCTTAAGATTAAAGAACTGAATGAAAGAATAGATGGCATTGCGATTGAGAAAAATAGGTTCGACTTCAAGTCATCTAAAGTGGAAATTAAACAGCTTGAATATCGAAAAACCGCTTCTGTTATAGATGTAGAAGAAGTTAAAGGTAGAAAAATGGATAAAGACATGGTTATGGAAATGTTGTTTAGTACTGAGAGTAGTCAAGGACCAGCCCTCCGTACAATCTCTCTAGTAGGGATGGGAGGGATAGGAAAGACAACCCTTGCTCAACTAGTTTATAATGATCATGAGGTGGAGACCCATTTTGATAAGAGAATATGGGTTTGTGTATCAGACCCCTTTGATGAGACAAGGATTGCCAAGGCAATCCTTGAAGCTCTCAAGGGTTCTGCCACAGATTTAATCGAATTGCAGTCTTTACTAGAAAACATACAATCATTGGTTAGGGGAAAGAAATTCTTGCTTGTCCTAGATGATGTGTGGAATGAAGATTCCACAAAGTGGGAGCAACTGAGAAACACCCTCACGTGTGGTTGTTTGCATGGAAGTAGTATTTTGGTGACCACCCGTAATAGGAATGTTGCAAATTGCATGGGCTCCTCATCCACTGACATTTTAGAACTAAGACTTCTCTCTATTGATGAATGCTGGTCACTGTTCAGTCAGCTTGCATTTTTTGATAAAAATAGTAGAGAGAGAGGAAATTTAGAAGATATTGGTAGAAAAATCGCAGCCAAGTGTAAAGGCTTGCCTCTTGCTGCAAAGAGTCTAGGAAGTCTTTTGCGCCTTAAAAGAAGCAGAGCAGAGTGGGACAGTGTCTTGAACAGCCATGTTTGGGAGATAAAAGAAGCTGAAAGCAATCTTTTGGCTCCTTTATGGTTGAGCTACCATGACTTGCCCTCTGAAGTGAGACGGTGTTTCTCATATTGTGCAGTCTTTCCAAAAGACTTCATATTTCAGAGGGATACTTTGATCAAACTGTGGATGGCACAAGGTTTCCTTCGGGAAACACAGAATAAAGAGATGGAAGTAATGGGTCGTGAGTGCTTCGAAGCTTTAGCTGCTCGCTCTTTCTTTCAAGATTTTGAGAAAGACGAGGGTGATGGCAGCATTAATGAATGTAAGATGCATGACATGGTGCATGATTTTGCGCAGAGTTTGACAAAAAATGAATGTTTTAGTGTAGATATCGATGGTGCGGCAGAGTCGAAGATAGACTCTTTTTCTAGAGATACCCGACACTCCATGGTAGTGTTTAGAAATTATAAAACCCACCCCTTACCTGCAGCCATCCATAGTTTCAAGAAGCTTCGCAGCCTGATTGTTGATGGTCGTCCTTCATTGATGAATGCAGCCTTACCTAAATTAATCGCTAATTTGAGTTGTCTAAGAACATTGAGGTTGTCAGGATGCGGAATAGAAGAAGTCCCATCCAACATAGGAAAGTTGATACACCTGAGGCATGTTGACTTGTCCTTTAATGAGATCAGGGAGTTACCTGAAGAGATGTGTGAATTGTATAATATGCTAACTTTAGATGTCTCGGGTTGTGATAAACTTGAAAGGCTGCCTGATAACATAGGAAGACTAGTCAAATTAAGATATCTCAGTGTTGGTGATTCGGGGTTTGTGAAGATGAGAGGAGTTGAGGGGTTAAGTTTTCTTCGGGAATTAGATGAGTTCCATGTGAGTGGTAGTGATAAAGAGTCTAATATTGGGGATTTGAGAAACTTGAACCACCTTCAAGGATCTCTTACGATAAGATGGTTGGGAGATGAGAAAGATCCTGATGAGGTTACGAAAGCAGAACTTAATAGTAAGAAACACCTCACTCATTTAGGTTTATGGTTTGAATCGAGGACAGAAAGGAGGATAATTCGGGATGGTGAAGTCCTTGAAGCCTTAGAACCACCTCCAAACTTAGAATCTTTGGAGATAGATTATTACCAAGGAATCATCCCAGTGTTTCCTGGATGGATTAACAAACTAAGGGTTGTTACACTCGGTGATTGGGGGAAGATTGAGAAACTGCCTCCTCTGGGGAAGTTGCCATCTCTTGAAGAATTAACCGTATACGGGATGGGACGCGTGCGGAGGGTGGGGCGTGAATTCTTGGGATTGGGAGTTGATGGGGAGGATGGTGAGGATAGTGACATTAGTATTGGAGAAATGACATCATCATCATCATCGTCAAATACTATTATTGCGTTCCCCAAGTTGAAAAGTCTTTTCTTTTGGGCCTTTTTGTTAATGGGAGAGTGGGAAGGAGGAGAAGGAGGAAATGAAGATAAAACGAACATCTTCAATTCAATCATAATGCCATCTCTTCGTTCCTTGACACTTTGGAACTGCCCGAAACTGACAGCACTCCCGGATTACGTGCTCCAGTCAACAACTCTAGAGCAACTGAGAATCTATATGAGCCCAATTATAGGAGCGCAATTCAAAGCAGGAGGAAAGGGCTGGCCCAACGCCTCTCATCTCCATCGGAGGAGATGTGTATATATATCCTTTAATTAATTAATTAATTATATTGTTTCTGACTTTGCTTCTTTCTATTTTTTTACTTATTGTTTCTTATAATAGTTTGACTATTATCTGTACATTAAAAAAAAACAAAATTGTTACCTTAGCATGTAAATTAATAATAGTGTTTCCGTGATTGCCCCGTGGTTTTTCCCCTCATCTTGAGAGGGTTTTCCACGTAAAATTATCGTCTCCTTTCCCTTGTCTCCTGTTATGCTATTTTTGTTTTTTACCCCGCTTTCTCTATAATAAAAACTTTATTTAGCTCATTTATTTATTGAAAAATAATTTTTATTTTAAAAATAAATTATGAGAAAGTAAATTATTTTTTAAAATTTAATAATATAATGAAAAATAAGGTAGAAAATATTTTTCAGTATTGAGTTATATCATGAAAAATAAGCTGGAAAATAATTTATTAATATTTTATTTTATTTTAAGTTTATTAAAATAATAAGAGACAAA